ATTCAAAACAGTCTGAAAGCCTTACCGTTATATTATTTTGTTATGGAGCAGGGTGATTCCTTTAAAATTATACATCTATGTGAATACAACATATCTTATATAGGACTATTAAAGGGACTCCACTGAGATTTTTTGACATGGCGGTACTGAACATATTATTTTCCAGATAAATGTACCATTTGATGTAGGTTTGGACCACGAATCTTTGTGCAAACTTTCAGATCATTCGCGCACTTCGTTTTTCCATAATAATTATTCAAATTGTAAAACAATTACCCAAAATGAAAAGCGTTTAAACGCTTTTCACTCAAATTAGGCTAAGAAAAGCACAAAACTACGATTTTCGATTTATTTTAAAGTATATTTCTTAACTATCTTTGCATATATTTCTGTTTAAAGAGCCCAAGTTCATTTATGTAAGACATTCTAATGTTCTTAGGCTTTTAAACCTCAGTGGAGTCCCTTTGAATAATATATCATTGTGATCAGACATTAAAAATAATTATAATAATAATAATAATAATAATAATAAATTGATGTCTCCATGCGCATGCACAACCGGAACGCAAAAATGTAACGATGCGAAAATGTTACAATGCGAAAAAGCGAAAATGCAGCAATACGACAATGCGAAATTGTAATTATGCGAAAATGCGAAGAGACGACAAAGTTATACTTTTCGCATTTTCGCATTTTGAGGTGAAGAAGCGAAAATACGACATGGCGTAAATCAGCCACCATATTTTTTTGTGTAAGAATTGGGGTTTTACCCGAAACTAAAAATTTTGGAAGCTTTGTTTGTATTTTGATTCTCCGAATGGAGGTGAAAAAGTTAAAAATCAAGCTTTGTCAGTTGGCGCCAAACAAGTAAGAAACTTAAAAAAATCTAAACATATGACACTTTATTGATCAATCGATTGTACTGTGTGTTAGTGATTATTTTAAAGGAATCGGGCGAATTCTCTGGAGTATCTTGCACTTTCATGAAAATTGCCCATATTTGTATATTTTAGGTGTAATTTTTGTTTGATGGGGTAAATATAAATTGCTGTTATTATTTTTAGGAGCAACGCATGCAAACTATTATTTTATTCAACGTATCTCATATATCCTTAAATAATCCTGTGCAACTGGTTATCTGCCTGTGTAACATATTTTGAAATATTTTGAATTGTATTTCTGGTCACACTGAACTACAAAATTGTTCATTTATAGGTCCTCTTCCCCCTTAACGTTAGTTCCTCTTCCCCCTTAACGTTTTATGAGCACTTTTTTATAGTGGAAACATTTACTGCTACACCGTATCGACCTAAATCCCGAAGACTTTGATTCCCAGCTTTACATGCATTTCAAATAACCAAATACTAGTATTACATTCACATATGCATTCATCTAATATAAGTTTATTACGCATTTGATATCTTGCTATGTTAAAATTGATAATGGTCAAACCAAAAACATGTGAAAATCATATAATTTTTATTATAACTGTTTATTATACATCGTGAATGTATTTTATTAAAGCCGTGATTCGATGAAGAATAATTTCATCTGAATCGTCTGAAAACGCGGAAGTACGTATATATGAATACTTTATAACGACACTCCCATTTATTGATTATCATACGGACCACAAAACTATAAAACAATAATTATATTAATGTATGCTATTTAAAGAACGGATGACACGTAATTACAAGAATTTCTAGATAAATAAATGCATTTTAAAGAAATTAGAAACTGCTTGCAAAAAAGATATAACATGTATAATATTCAAATTTGAAAAACTATGGATTCGATAGAAATGTATACGGTGGCACAAAGGTGACATGTGTGTGTTTTTATTTATCTCGTGGCCACGAGATACTATGTCATGGCCACGAGTTACTAAGTTGTGGCCACGAGATAGCTAAGTCGTGGCCACGAGATACTTTGTCGTGGCCACGAGTTAGTAAGTCGTGGCCACGAGTTACTAAGTCTTGGCCACGAGATAGCTAAGTCGTGGCCACGAGTTACCATGTCGTGGTCACGAGTTACTAAGTCGTGGCCACGAATTACTAAGTCGTGGCCACGAGTTACTAAGTCGTGACCACGAGATAGCTAAGTCGTGACCACGAGATAGCTAAGTCGTGGCCACGAGATACTATGTCGTGGCCACGAGTTAATAAGTCGTGGGAAAGAGGTAGCTAACTCGTGGCCACGAGATACTATGTCGTGACCACGAGTTACTAAGTCGTGGGAACGAGATAGCTAAGTCGTGGCCACGAGTTAATTACCCAATCAGAATACACTATATATATTATGAATTGTTTTAACTTAACAACTTACTTTTACATGCAATATTTATCTTTGAAAATACTGAAGATATTCACTTTGAACTTGTCTTTAGGATCATATTAGAACCTTCAAAGGCCCTTCAAACATTTATTTTGACTATAGCTCTTTGTTGGGAAATTTTGTGATCAAATTGGTCAGTTTGTACGTACTATGTCTTGTAACCTTGTTTATACGATAACATGAGAAGGAATAAGTCCTGGTTAGGGACATATCCCATGGACAGTAGATAGCCTATAAGAATCAAAGTGCTGCAGCACTGAATGCGACGGACATGCAACCGGAGAGACATAGAAAAAAAAACACAAAAGATATAAAGAGAAAATTTGTTCCATACAAGTTCGAGATTTGTAGAGCAATATATTTTATGTGTCCCAATCTGATATGATTCAGATTTTCTACTTTCAATACTTTTAAATACAGAATGAAATTTATGCCTATAAACTCTGGTCAAACTTGTTAATCAGTGTCCCAAGAAATGATAAGTAAATAGAAAAAACTGTCGACGAAATATTTCTAAAATAAAAACATGCAAAGAAACTTCAAGCATAATACATAATACATGTGAGAATGTTAATTAGAATTGCTTAGTGTTATATCATCGTGGGCATATAGACAATAAAATATAAGTCATTTGTATTTTTATTTCTCTTGGATATGTCTCATTAATATTTTTGGTTAAAATCATCAGTAATTAATTGTCCCTTTCAATTTCACACTAAATTCCATTTTAACTTGTTTGCTTCTTACAATAATTGTATAGAATTTCTTAAAGTAGTGCATGTAAACAAAGTAAGTATCCGCTGGTTTATTACGTGTATATTGTGTACTCGTCCGAAAGTCAGCACAGGTGATGCAGAATCTATTTTTAGAATAGTGTTATCTTCAGGTCATATCGTGACCTAGAAAATTTTATGTAAACAAAACACAAGAATCGGAAGTAGAACTGATATTATAACTTCCTTCAATAAAGATTACCATGAAAGACTACATGGTGGTAAAGTGTTGAAAAACTCTCTTGTTACATGCATTTTCAAAAATAGATATTTATAATACTAACCATTGTACTGTAGTCTAATTTATTAATAACTGCTGGATATTCAGCTGAACCCGCGGTATGAGTCACGAAAAGAGTTCTTCTTTTATTAATACGCGAGTTATTATAGAGTCACGAAAACTAATGCGCGAGTTATTATAGAGTCACGAAAAACTGATCTGTTAATAAAAATGTTTTGTTTAATGGAGCAATATTTATTTCATACTTATAATTTCTATGAATTATTGAGCTTTCTCCTTAATTATAGCATAATTTGCTGTCCTACTTTTTCGACAGCGGTAAATCGTTTCAGCAGTTATTTGCATATTGCGCAATAAAGCTACGGGGCTACAGCGTTTTTATCAAATCAAATACGTTCATATTTTAAATTGGATATCTTAATTTGAAATTGAAAAGGCTAAATATGGAAGTTTTTAAGATATTCGACAAAGTATGGGAGTTTCATAGGATCAAATTCATGTAATATTTCTTGGGATGTTATTCGGTTGAGGACACTTGCGCGATTGTAGCCGACGAAATCCCATGTGTAGATGACATAGCTCTGAACGCGCCTGAGGGCGCGTCCGTCGCAAAAAATCATCGTCTGATGAATTATTAAGAAGGGATAAGCCATCATGGTTTATATAACACAGAAATATCATTGCACCTGATCAGAAGATAACATCTAGGTCATTGGGTCAAAAATCAGGGTCACAGTGACGCTAAATGTAAAATTATTGACCAGTCAATATAAGTAGTATAAATGGCACTTTTACAGGCTGGTGAAGTAGGGGCATCCTTGTACTATAGCACATGTCTAGTTAGAAATTCATATAAATGGTGTAATCTGATAAGTTATTTATCTCGTGGCCACGACTTAGCTATCTCGTGGCCACGACTTAGTAACTCGTGGCCACGACTTAGTAACTCGTGGCCACGACTTAGTTATCTCGTGGCAACGACTTAGTAACTCGTTGCCACGACATAGTATCTCGTGGCCACGAGATAAATAAAAACACACACATGTCACATTTGTGCCACGTAAATTTAACAGAATAGAAATAGATGTTGAAAACAAGAATTACTCATTTCAAAAGATAAGTAAATACCCATATTTGTTCTATAGATATGGGTAGCCGGGATATCGTTCTAGCACCTATATTATGATTTTAAAATTGCTATTAACTTTAAACAGCCGGTATGGGCAGTACAACTGACAATGCCAGTGAATTCAACTATTTGATTCATTGATTTGTATTATAAACACGCTATACTTTTTTTAATCATAATGTAATAAAATGAAAATAAATAAAAGTATTATTTAAATAAAAAACAACACTAATTAAAAGGTATAATTTAAGCAGATGTAGAGCTAGTAATAAAACGATTTTAAATTATATCTTGCAATAAATTTAAAAATGTGTATATTCATAACGTGGTGTTGGTTAGGAATCGAACCAGAGACCTTCAGATCGATAGCCCGGCGTCTATACCAATACACCACATAACTTAACCACCACACAACAAGTTAACAAATAGTTGTGTGAAAGATTTTTTAATTATACTTAAATAAGTATAGCTGATATTTGTTTCATTCACTCCCCATTTTCATACCAAAGTTGTTACTTACTGTGTTTGTCGGTCTCTACAAGTTCCGGTACATTTTGAATTTCCCGCCAGAGCAGTTTTTATCGTCCGATGCACCTTTGCTAAACCATGCTCCGTGTAAGGCTTCAGCACCTGACATACAAACACTAAAGCAAAGTTTACACAAACATAGTTCTCAAAGTCCGGGTGCTTAAGAATGTATTCAAAATCATCCATTTTTGATTTTTGTTGTTAACGAATGTTGTTGTTTTTTTGACACAGTCTAATATTCTTTAATAATATTTAAGTGAAATAGTTACTCACAATTGTTAGATGTTTAAGTTAACACCTAATCTCACGAAAATATGGACAAATATTTTAACAACGATATATAGTTTCAATATTTTCTATTATATTTGTGAAATAAAGCAATATGGATATTTGCCAAAGTACTAGCATACCGATCATGGTATTGAATTTTAGTGTGTTCTTTGTTTGCATGCATTCAATGAAATATTGATCATGGTGCAATTTATGATAAAAAGGCTGACATGTTTTTATATTGAAATTTATTATGTTTATTTCTTTAAACAAACATGTTTATATTTACATTGGTTGACTACATATCTATAGAGAACTCGTTTTAAAGGACTTCACCTAAGATCCTAAAGCATAAAAAGCATATACTTACACTTCTTATTTAGATCTTCTGTTTAACACGAAAAGGAACAAAATAGAAAAAAGATAATAAATAAATTTATCCAGAATTAAATTGAAAAATTCGATATACCTTGTGATTTTGGCTAGATTTTTGAGTTAAAGTCATTTTGCACACTCAGATAAAATTGTTCTGGAAAAATAATATTTGCGAATGATTTGATATTTTGCAAACAAGTCATTTGTCCACCCATATCAAATGGTTCACTCAACTAAAAAATATCTTTTGAGTTTCGTCATGTTCTGAAACCTCAGAGGAGTCCGTATCGAACATAAATCATTCTTTGGTGATTCAGCAGCAATCTTGTGTATTCCTTTACCGCTTGTAAATGTTATAACCATGCCAACAAAATATACAGTCAACTGTATTTTACTATACTACATAATAGAATATAAATACATGTACATAAATGATATAAATATAATACTCGAGTCTATAAAATAATATCTACAATAAATATATTAGTTTTCCAATCATGTGGGAACACTCAATCAACATAAAACAAAATAAATGTTCTACTTTACTAGTTATACGGGAATTACTGCTTAAATAACAACTTTATATTATCTCTCCTTGGCATGGTCTTTTTATGTGTTCAAAAGGGTTCAATCAACTTTAAACACTAGTTACGTTCGGTATTTAAATATTTGAGTGTGATTCGGGAAAAAATCATCCAAAATTTTAAGCTTTCACACACTCATTCATTCATTCACTCACTCACTCACTCACATGCTCACTCACTCACACACTTACTCCCTCGCATGCTCACTCACTCGCATGTTCACTAACTCGCATGTTCACTCACTCGCACACTCACTCAATCGCATGCTCACTAACTCGCATGCTCTCTCATTCGCTCACTTACTCGCATGCTCACTCGCACATTCACTCACTCGCATTCTCACTCACACGCACACTCACCAACTCACACACACACACACTCACTCACGCACTCGCACACTTACTCAATTGCACACTCACTCAATCGCATGCTCACTCACTCACTCACTCGCATGCTCACTCACTCACTCGCACACTCACTCACTCATACCATTTTCCATTTGGAGTCCATTACAGAACAACCCTTGGTAGCGAATCAGAAGACATAATGTCCAAGCCATCTCTGGACAGCGTTTTTTTGTTTGGATGGTCTCTTTCCTGTGGGTACTAGGTTAAAAGATCTTGCTCAGTCATTGAAGGATTTTATTTGAAAGACTTCAAGTTTCTTTTCAATGGTAGTAGAATTATACCAGCACTGTGGTCCAAAAAGAAAGACAGGGAGACCATTAATGTTGAATATCCTGAGCTTTGAGATTTTGAGCATTGTAGATCTCTGTAGAGCTTCGTCATTTGCCTTGCTAATCTCGGTATCAATTTCTTTGTCCCAGTCTTCCATTATGGGGACTCTGTTACCCAGGTATGTGAATTCTCCACTTTCTCTAGTGAGTTTTTTTCTTTTTATCAAAACTGGATTGTTACTGCCTTTATCTAAAAGACCTGTGTTTTCTTGACATTAACCTTCAATCCTGCCTTGCTTTATGTATGACTGAGAGACTATGTCTTCTGTTGGGTATTTGGTACCTGTTAGCCAGGAAATCAAGGTTTTTGGAACTGATGTCAATATCCAATATAAACATCGTCTTCTGTTTTCTGTGACGTTCTTCACGAGCAAGTCGAGTGGTTGGGGAGAAGTGCTAGGGCGACAGGATACAGCCGAGCTCCACTCCGGTCTCCACACTGGTCGTAGAGTATGATTCAGGGTGAAAACTATCGAACTGTTAAGGAAACATACAGATAGATTGAGACACTTGTAAGGCTAAATATGTATCACTTTCCAAGCTGGATTTATGCCAAAGACAAAAGAAGTAAAATGCACGACGTCGTATAAACTAACGCATTCCGTTTTCATTCAGTTTGAGGAAATATTGTCAGCGAACCGTGGGGCGGGGACTTAAAAATAACATCAAATATGGTTCTTATCATAGTCCATGCAAGGCGACTAAAGGAATGAAGCTGAAAGAGACGGAGCTCAAACCCCTACTGACCTAAATATGACAAGTGACAAACGCAAACATGAAAGTGTGATGAGTAAAATTCTCATATAAATCACTGCTCGAACATAAGCACATGCTAAAAGAGAGTGAGATGAGATATATAAACTCATATACCACTGCACAGACATATACAGTAAGAGTGAGATAAGTGAGATAGTTAAATACCACTGATCACTTTTTATAAGCAACTTTAAGCAGTCACACAAACAAAAATTAATTTTCCTGATTTCAGCATCAAAAAATAATATTCTTTAAGTGGACTTTATAAATGAAAGGGCTGAGAATGATAAATGTATTTATGTGAAAAATTCTATCTTCCAGTTTAAGTTCGATCAAGTTTCATCAAATTTCATTCAAAGACATCAAACTGTAAAACTGCAGTAGGATTTCTCGATTAAAATGACTTCTTGTCAAACTTATTTGCATGTTCATTCTTTTCTCTATTTTGATTAGAAATTATAGTTGTAAAATGAAAACAGTCGTCATTCTGATTTGTCAGCTGCATCACACAAAAGAAAATACTAGTAGTCCGTAATATTGCTGTTAAAACCTAGAGAAAATTAAGGTTATCGGCCCTATCTAGTGTTTGTCATCATTCTTCTCTAAAACATAAATAAGAAACAATTAAAATGCCAATTGGAGAATCCAAACAGCGAACGTCATCCTTACTTTCACTTCTGTCTGATGACTTTGCAAAAAAATAAATCAACAAACAAAAATGGTAAAATTCAAGAGCAGATTAGGGTAGATTTAACTTTTAAGATTTCCAAATGTACATGATGGTTTTCGGGAGCGCGTTTGCACTTATATATCATTGGATGCTGGAATTGCAGGAAGGCTGTGCTGGAATCAATGGAAAATGGTAAGACACTATTCCCTCATTCCACTATCAAATCTTGTATAAGCCCAATCTAAATTAAACTTGCATATTTATTTTCTCAAAGACAATGTCAACGTATCTTAACTAAATCTTATGTTTTGCCGATACCCGGAAGGACTACTTCGGGAACTTCAATAATTTCAGCCAAGGCACCAGAATATCTTACAATGAGCGGTGAATATTAATTGCACAGACAAAAAAAAAACAGGATTTCTAATGTTGACAGCATATATTTACACCCCGTTCATCTTTATCAAATGGTGTTTTTATATGATACAGACAGCTCACAAACTTTCGGATAGGGATGGATTTGAACCGTATTACGATACTCCAGCAAATATTCATTACTTGCAAGCAATGTATACAGAGTTATAGCTGCATTTCAGAAATTAATAGGGTAAACGGCTTTGCTGAACAACAGCCACTTTCGGGTGAAACCTCGATAAAAGTAGATCTTCATTTTGCAGGATTGTCACATTTAGATCACTTTTTGTTTAAATATTGTTTGCATAGTGGTCAATAAGCTTTGAAAGATCGAAATTATGCACTCAGTTAAAAGAAACATTTCTAAACATGAAAGCAAAAAATATGAAAATTACTATTTCATTGATAAAAGTATTGTTTAAACCTACGCTTCAAACTTCGTATCCACGCATGCGCGTGCAAGAATGAATGAATTACGACAGACTCTGTATAAAAATATGTCCAACATCCAAAATAAATATTAAATCAAACAAGTAAACCTTATTTACTCTTAAATTTACACTTGCATATTTTTTTCTATTTCAAACTGTTTTACAAAACGAGCATATACAGATATATGTCTTATTTAGTGGTATGTAACATTGTAAGCGTCTGTATGAATGGAATAAAAGTTAACGTTCTGAAAACGTATTGTCATATAATTGCATATAATAGAACCCTATCAACATGGTGGCATCGGAGGAATATGCAATTATTTGTTGCACACCTGCAGTGTGAAGTATTTCTGCCACTTAAGTAAAATATATCGCCCAAACCATTTTCGGGAAGGGGAAGATTCGTACTCAGTATTGTTCGATTTGAAGATACGTACTCAATATTATTCAAACTAAGGATTCGTAATCGGTATTTTTCGAACTGACAATCATCGCAGATACGTTTAGACCCCCTGGACATTAAGATGTTGAAAATGGTAACATATCACATAACTTTATCAAATGGAAGCGCCAAATGGAAATTTACCTGACTGCCAGTGGAAATGCTGAGAAAGATGAAAGGATACAAGTAAATATCCTGCCTCGACCTCTTCTTCACCAATAACCAGTCTCTCATCAACCGTTGCGAAGTCCTCCCTGGCATAGCTGACCATGACGCAGTGTTCATAGAGTCAAGCCTCCGCCCCATGTGAGTTCGTAAAGCTCCAAGGAATGTCCTTCAATACAGAAAAGCTGACTTTGAAAGCTTCAAGGCTGAACTGACGTCATATTTACACAGTTCACTGAAGAGACAGTCAACAGCTCGGCCGACCATTCTTGGAAGATTTTTGAGAGTAAGTTGAAGTCATTAGTCACCAGGTACATTCCCTCCAAGACCATCTCGGGCAACAAGGTACACAAACCATGGATCACCAAAACAGTAAAGTATCTCCATCGAAAAAGAAACAAGCTACTATCCAA